TAGGTCCTAAACGCACATCTATTATAAAACAAGGAGATGGTTCTGAGGAGAGGATAGGACCTTCATTAGAAGTTGTACAAGATTCCAGCCGCACGATCCCTATTGTAGCTGGACGTACTCGTTTTCTGACATACTGTCTTCTTTGACAGCTGTACTCCTAATTTTGTAGTTACGACGCTTCTTTGGACAATGTTGAGCAGTGTGCTTAGGTTCTCCACAATATAAGCACAATCCTTCTTGTCGACGACGAGACTTTTCTTGCTCAGTAAGAGGTTTGAAACGTACCGCATCAATTTGCATATCCTCTACTTGTGAAGGTATGTGTTGAGGAGACGTCGGTCTTGCCATTGAATTGTAGTAACGTTGAGGCCCACTTGTGCGACTCTCGGATCGAAATTCAAAAAGTCGATTGTCGCACTTCACAGCAAAGTCAATTGCTTGACTCAATGTTTGAGGATCAGGTAAATTAAGCATCAATTTCTTTACCTCATATTGTAATCCGTAGAGAAATTGACTCACAAGTGCGGCATCATCCCACTTGATATCAGTTGCAAGTTGTCGAAATTGCGAAGCATATAATGTTACTGATCGATTGCCTTGTCGCAAAATACGGATCTTGTTGGTTGCAACACGAATTGCATCATGTTCTCCAAACATGGATCGAAACTCCGCCAAAAAAGCCTCCAGATTATCCAATATTGGATCTCGTCGTTCAAGAAAAGATGAAAACCATGACAATGCTGAACCTGAAAGAAGTGTACCAATGAATCTAACTTGTGACCTTGGAGTTGGATAGCTCTGGGGTTGAAGTTCAATCACTAATTGGACCTGATTGATGAATCTTCGAAACTTGGATCTGGTACCATCAAACTTCTCGGGCAAGGAAACTCTCGGTTCTCTAACACTCGAAGGGTGTTCCATTCTGGGAGAAGGGACATGGTTTGGTGCAGATGTTGAAGCAGCCCCAATCATCTCTATATCTTCACTTCCTACCATTCTTGTTGCTCCTTGTGGTGGTAAATTGAGTTGATGCATCGCAAGCATTAACTCCCTCAATTGTTCTTGCATCTGTGCCATTGCACTCTTCATTTCAACAAGCTCTGCCATAGTAGCACTTAGAAAAGAGAAGATGTCTAATAACGCTCAAAACAAATAGAAGAGAGGAATTGATAACAAAGAAAATACTAAGAACAATATCAGTTCAAAAGAGGGTAATCCACAACTTCTAATGCGCTTATGTCTTATCAAGAAAAAGGGGTAATCCACTCTTAATCAAGAAAAGACAAAGCTCTGATATTGTAAGTGTACTCTTGTCAATCTGTCAAGGACAAGAACTCGATGAAAGCTAAAGAGTAAGTGAGACTTTTCTTAAAAAGAAATAGGACAAAATAGAAATATGTATATTAAGAAAGAAACTGGAATGGCTATTGCCAAAATACAAGAAAACTAGAGACTCTTGAAACTAGACTAGAAGCAAGAAAGGAGTTGACAAGAGTGAAGAGGGCTTCACTCTTGCCTCTATATATACTATCTAACTAGAAGCCACGTGGCGATGTTCTATAAGACCTCCAATATATGTTGACTTTCTAGGCCACATGCCTTTGCTTGCAAGGCAAGTTTTCTATGGATGGACCACGTAGTTAGCTTGTTCTTTAAGCTTCCAACATGTGTGGCACATGGCTAACTTGTTGACCAAGTTTCTAACCTAAAAGTCAACTATAGACTCCTATAAAGTCAAAGCAGCGTCTATGAAGCTTCTAAGAAGCTTCTCTAGAAGATATTACACAATTAACCTACTTTTATCTACTTTTACATACTTTTATCTATTCATATAGGTAATTATATGTATGTCCGTGAAATATTGCTCATGCAACTATTGAATACTTAAAAAATACTTAGATACCACACAAGAAGAGATTTTTTAAAGCTTAGATAAATAATCCACTTCACCCTAGAAGTGTTACTAAATTATAAATAGAGGATCAATATTTAGCATTAAAATCCTACTTAAAAGTCTTCACCAAAGAACTTAGAGAAGTTCAAATTTCTATCTCTTACTTTTTTTAAAATATTATAATAAAATTGAAAGCTCAAGAAAGTTTAGAATAAATCCATATTGCTCATCAACACAATATTGGTTTCTTTACCAATGTTGTGAAACATGTATCTTTATATGCTCTTAATCTTGTCCTTGAATAAGCAAACAAGAGCAAAGATTGATGAACATAATTTTTCCTGTATAAAGACAATAATAAATATATTAAATCTACTTTGTAAGCATTAAATAATAATTTTAAAGAAGAAGAGATGTTTTGTCAATTGGTGATTTTCATCATTATTACTATCTAGTAAATACTTCTAACTAGTTTATTCCAATATCACCTACAATTCTATTCTCTTTTCAAAGTTTATGTCCACTTTATATTGATGTTAGTCAAACTTTTGATGTTTTACCTCTTCACCAACAAGAAAATTTATATAAAAGATTAGTTGAGCTTTGAACAATAACTATGCAATTGAAAAATCCACAAGTGAGTCGCCTAAAGAAAAGACCACAAAGAGCAAGAAATAGAACTAGAAGTGACCTGCATACAAAACCATCAAGACAACAATCTCCATGACAATTTGAATCAATAGAAGTAAGAACAAGGAGGTGCTTTTGCAGCAACTACAAGTCAATAGGACATAATATCCACACATGTCCTACAAGGACAAATTTTTTCTTGCAATTATCTACAAATAATATACAAACATAGTAGAATTCAACAATATGCTAGCAAAACTGTTTTCAAAAAATACTACATATAATCATTTGAAAAATTATAATGATTATTACTTCAAGTGATATTAATTATTAATTTATTTGATACTAATAAAATAAAAATGATGTGTCTAATGTCATTTTTTAATTGACATTTATAAACATTTCAAAACAATGTGTATATCTAGATATTATTTAGGTGATACTTGAATTTTAAGAAAAAAAATTAATTTAAATGAATTTGACTACATAGAAACAACATCCGATTTGGATTGTTATTATGATGAGTGTGAGGAAATGGCCTATTGAAAAGCACAACTTGATCCTTAATCAACTTTGTAACATTATCCAACATACAACATCTTTTAATAAATAATACACAAAATTACTTGTCAATGGTAGAGCTAATCTCCATATCTACGAAAAAACCATGATTACTCTCTATTACATACCGCTAAAAATCTCACATCTTTGTATCCTTAGCAATGAAAAGATCCTACAATTATCTATGCATTTTCTACCTAAGATCCAAAACCTCAGCTTCATATCCCTAAAATCTCAGAACAAGGTCCGACTTCGCACCTTTTGATGAATATACACATTAATTCATAGACATGTCTAAACCTAAACTTCTTTCTCTTCTTCTCTCTAAAGAAAAAGAAAGAAAGAAAGAAAGAAAAAAAAAATACTTATATATATATATATATATATATATATATATATATCGTATTCAACTTCTAAACCAAATATATAAGAATAAAAGAATTCAAACAATAAACAAAAAAGTTGATAAGGATTATGAAATAAGTCTTTTGCTTTATATAAGAGATGTAAGGCAATTCACACGACACTGGATATTGTGGTAGAAACAGTACCAAGTTGAAGCAAGACATTTACTTAAAGTGACTAATTTTTTTTCAAAGAAAATATATTGCAATTTGGAAACATCAAATATTACAATTGCTTGATTCCAAAATCCTAGATTCAAATAAAAAAAATACAAAAAAGAAAAAAATAAAACAAAACAAAATTGTATTAAGATTTTTGCCTCATAGAAATGATTGACTTATAGGATTTATTTCATATAAGGTTGTGAAGTCCAAACTTCTCACTTGTACGAGATAAAAGTGTTGTAAACCACATTGTTTTGTTTTGTAGATGATATTAAGCTAAAGGCAATAATACTGAGAACAAACTTCAAGACCCACAGTTCTAACCCAAGATTTGATATATGATTGATGTTCTTCTTGGCTTGCAACTTAGGGTTTGACATATGAGAATATGCATGGAAGTACGCTTGTCCTTTAGGTGATAGTGTTGCCCCATTGGTAACATCACCTCTAGGCTCCATCACATTTGGAGACCTTGAATTCACTCTAGCCTCTTTTGATCTATGATCTAATTGTCCCATATACATTACTCAACCTCAAAAAACAAAGAAATAAAAAAACAACCCAATTTAAATTTCCATTCAAAATCTCCCAAAAAAACACGCAATCTCTAACGTAAAAAACACCAAACACCAAAATTCAAGCAACCACTCTACAAATCCACTAGAGAACTTTGAATCCAATACTACAAACTGTTAAATTTCAACAAAATCTCCAAAGGGTATTACTTTAGAACTTTCCTACAATTCAACAAGCTTGGAATGTCTTCAATAAAAAAAACATCTCCTACAAATGAAATGCTCATAGAAACACGCATGATTTAGATTGAAAGAAAAACACTTCCAACAATGATTTCAACATTAGACACTGCAAGCAAGGAAGCAAATATAGTAGGAAAGCAATGCAAAGAGATGAGGGTGGCAAAGAAGGAAAGGCCAACCTAACCCTCATCTCAATTAGGAATTAGGCAATGAAATAAATCTATCAAAGAACCTTCCCTCTTTTAAACAAATAATTAAGGTTCTATAATTAAAGACTACTACAACTATCATTGTAGAAGGTGACAATGAAAATTAGATTGTCATGATTGTAGATGAATGTACTTTCTTTTCATCAATTGCAAATCTAATAGTAGAGAAATGAATCTAAAGGTAATTATTTTTTCATGATAATAATAGGTGGGTCACTATAGTAAAAATTTGGATTGCTTTATCATTCACATATATATGTATGTATATATAAATTGTCATTAAAAAATATATATTATGTATATATATTGTTACTAAAGAAAGATCATTTTGAGATAAGCTTAAATTATCCCTTATATTGAACCTGACAATTATCCCTTATATATGAAACAGCTATAAATTTATCTAAAACTTCTCAAGGAAGTCTGAAATCCGTTATCCTATTACATAAAGCTGATATCTTCCTTAGCATGAGTTGCCCAATTTATTAAACCTCAGAACTAGAGAACAATATGGCAACACAATCCAATCAGAATACTCGAATGTCGTAGATCAGAAGCATGTACCAGTACCTACAGCATTAAGTGACCTCAAACTGCAAATAACCTTGATTTCTACTAAACAGACAACCAGTTCCGAGAGTCGAAACAAAAACTGAAGAAAGATGATAGATTCTATGATGTGATCAGAAACAAAATTTATTGCTTCTGTGTTAATGATTCTTCAAGTTGGCAAGTGGACAAAACATAGGTACTGTTCAGATGAGGCACATCTGTCAGTGTTTTTTGAATTGCATCCAGGTCGGTTTCTTCGAGTGAAAACTGATGGTCGAATGCATGAACAATAGAATCCACGAAAACCTCACGTGAAGGGAGGTGGTCCTTCAAGCGGCAAATGAAATCCGAATGTTGCCGATTCTGCCAATTGTAGTACATACGAGGGGACTAATCAGAAGGGCATAACTGCAGAGCCTCGAAGATAACAAGATAAATTCAGCATGAGATGCACAAACAAAGATCACAACACTTACCACACGATATGCAGGAGCCCTATCCGGGTGCCGCAAATACGCCATTCGAGCATCTTGGTAATCCCACAAGAAGGATGTGTGGTGAAGAAATCGGCCCCTAGTGATAGACTGAGCGTTGCCGCCGAACTTCCTATCACCAAACACATAATCTGCGATGTGTAGGTACACAACGCGTCAGTCATTGCTTTGTTCATACTTCACAAGAAATTACTAGAAAGACATAATGAAAATGAATACTATTGATGCATTTGAGATTTAGCCCCTGGGAGCACAAACTGGAGTACGGTTCAAATTTTAGAGTTTATGACGCGCGTCGGTACATGACAGATTGTTCGGTGGGGTTTGAGCAAAAGCATGTTCCATTCCATACAACATAATTGCAATATCCTTTAATAATGATTTGAGCATCTCAAGCATTGGGAATAGAATTTGTTTGCGAAAAAGTTAATTTGAAATTCTTTAGAAATCTCACCGTGCTCTCGAAGCTGGAAACCTGGAATTGATCGAAAAGCAGGGACGTAAAGCTCCTCAGTCCAATCCATGATGGGCCGAGGATACAACTTCGGAATAGGAACTGAATCACCCCCACAGATCAGAGTTACAAAGACTGTATTTTCGTCCACTATGACCGTGCCTCCACCACTGAATCGACGAATTACGGATATACCATCTCGAATCACAGCCTTCACATCCAGCAACTGCTCCGGCTTCCTGCACCAGGAGCCGAATTCGGCGAATGTGGGTCATGGGTTTCCATCCCTGTATAGCAATGAGTAGGACCTACGTAAGTTCACTGCCAACATCTCCCCGCCCGAATTAGATCCTCGTTACCACTCTCACTCCTCCATCAAATTCTAGGGGTACTGCCATGTACACTACAAATTGTGATTAAAAGAGTGTGCAGGAGGAAGATAATTACCCTGAGATGCCCATAACGATTGCTGGGGGGCTGGTACCCTCATTGATAAGACACCAATTTTGCGACGTGGTCCGCAGAAGCCGCTCCTCCAGCTTCAACTGATGAAAGATAGAAAATCCCTGGAGGCGTAGTAAGTGCATCGGAGGTCGTCTCGCCATCTCTCCACGTCTCCAGCTCTACTCAAACTCTACTGTACTCTCTTCTCCTCCCGCTCCCCACACGACGAAACACCCAAACCCCAAAACCCCGCAATAAAAAAACCTCGACCTAAAGAAGCACAGCTGGGTAAACCCAAAGAAGAAAACTTAAATCGAACAACATCACAGACTCCGTGAAGTTCTTCGCCCTTGCGGGGATTGTGCTCGCTGCACGCACATTGAGAGCAAACATTGCCGTTTGGCGTCCGTTTTCCCAGCAATTTCGATCCTGATCGCATCTCACAGCTGTGGACTTAGGTGTGAACAAGGGCAAAATGCCTTGCCGAGCGAAATGCTTCGACAGAGTAAAATCCAATTCTTAACGATACGTGAATTTACTTCGGAGAAGTCCTCTTCCGTGAATTCCGTCTTCGCCGAGCATGATATCCAAGGTTGGGATTTTAGGGTTTTCCCTGCTGTGGTCAGGGATGAGAAGAAAAGAAAACATCCTCACTCGTTTGTTTCTATAGTAATGTGGAAGGATTTGGAAGATGGGGTTTCAGTGGAGAGGCTCCTGGAGCCTCGTAGAATTGTGTCGCAGAAACCTCCTTTCTCAATCGACTGGCTCCGCCATCGTGGGCCGTCGGATAGCAGTTTTCACTCAGATTCAATCTCAACCGTTGATTGGATTTCTGGGAACTGAAGGAGGGAAAGGAAAGGAAGGAGGGGGGCAGGTTGGGAACTTTGAACCCATTCCTCATTTGGCCCGCCCAGATCCACATTGACATGGGTGCTGAATTTTCTTCAGGGGCTGCCTCACAATACCACTTTTCAACCATCACTCTTGCTTCAATTTTTTTTTTTTTTTTTTTTTTTTTTTTTTTTTCCATACACAATGGCGCTAATACATTTATATGATATTTTTGCTTCTAAGAAGAATTTTGCAACTTAAATAATTTACTCATTAATTTTTTCCTAAGGTACAAATCTTTTATAAACAAGGACATAGAATTGATTAATTTCTTTGTGCAAGAAATAAAACATAGATTGGCTACATTTTAGTTTATATCATTTTTTAATAAATATTTAAATTAGAAATAATCTATTAAAATAATATATATAAATTTTAATTATTTTTCAAATCATAAAACATTTTCTACAAGCATTTTGTATCTAAGTAGTTTTAGAGTTAAAACAAATGCAATAGTCATAATAGTGTGGTTGTAAAAACTACAACTAAAATGAGTTTTTGTTATATAAAGGTAAATACCACATATAAAATATCATTAAATCAAATCGAATTCTTATACAAAGTGCTAAATTTTGCATCCATACTTTTAATGAAAATCTAAATCTTTGAAGAATAATTCTACATCTTGGTCAATATTACATCCTTCTTTATCTAATGCAACACTATTATTTTTTTTACAATCAAGTATTAGCAATTTTTGCACTTAGTTTTGGTGATTCCAATAAAGAATATATTTAGATCACTACACTTTGGATATGTTTCTTTGCACAACTTAAGTAGTCTCGTTTGTGTACACTTCTTCTAAACAACTTCTTCTCTTTGTTGTAAAACTTTGAATTAACCAGGTTTTGGCACTATTAGATTCTTTTTGTCATATTCTTCTTCATTATCTAATTTTTTCTTCTCCTTTTAGCTTCCAAATCCAAGTATGATAATTGTAATATAAGTTTGTATAGAAGTGATACTACCACCTACTCTTGGCATAGGAATTTGTAGAGGTCTTGGTAATAAGTTCTTTATATATCTTAAAAGTATTAAGATTGATTTTTTTGTTTTATTGAATGCATCATATTATTCTATAGTTAAGGCCTACGTCTTGTTTGGTATCATCAAACTAATTATTTCAAATAACCTACAAAATTAAATATCATACTTAGAAATCTGAATTCTACTATCTCCTCCATTTCTTGGACTTTCATATGAAGTGTTACTTAGGCCATGATGATTAATAACTTCTTTTCAATTAAAAAAGCTACTATTTTTATATGAGCTTGATAATAAATCCAATAAATATAACTATTTTTTTTATTAACAATCCATCTCATAATCTACATGTGTTTATATATAGAACCATAATCATTATATTTATACTATTTATGAGATGAATTGATAATATATCATTTTATTAGAATATTTTGGCTTTGAAAGGAAAATTCTATGTGATATACATGAAGAACTTTTAAATTTGATAATCAATTTTGTTTATAACGTTCAACCAATCATTTAGTTCTTTGCAACCTTGATATTTGTTCTTTGTCTGTATCTCTTAAAGAATACTTTTTTAATTCACTTTATATATGGACATCATTGCATTATTACATCAAAGTAATTCCTACAAAACAATGTATTATATATGGCTTACTTACTGATGTAATGATGAGTTTATTAAGTCATCAATTTATCTTTCTATTTAAAAGGATATATTTCATATATTTCTACATGTGTTCTATAAGATTAATTGTATTAGCATGTCTGCGGTAATATAACCTAGCCCATTTCGGCCTCATCAGCTTCTATTGGCAATTGGGCCTTGTCCATCCATTATCTAAGTATTTAATTATCTTTTTGTTTTCAGCAAATGTAAACTTAAATCTTTTATATTCAATGTCAATTTTTTTTTCTCATTGTCGGCTTCTAACATAGAGCATATTATCTTGTATAAATTAAAATAATTATTTTAAGAAAAATTAGGCAACAAATATTCCTCTTATACTTTTTTTTTTTTATAAAATCAATACAAAAATATATGACACTTAATTTAAATTTTATAGCTTTTTAAAATTTTTCTAATAAAAATAGTCATCATAAATGGCTTTCATTAAAATTATATATTTTGTATTAATTTTATCAATTATTATTATATTTGATGGAATAATATCTATATTTTGAAATATGATATACATTATGAGACACAATGAAGTTTGTTTTTAATTACTATCTTTGTCAATACTACGTAGCATCAAAATAATTGGCATCTTTAATACCATTGTATTACAAGAAATTTCAATATACAATAGCATATTCTATTGATTGGTTTTAAATATCGAGTCCATAATCCATGCTAAGTTTGGCATAATACTTTTTACTCTTTCAAGCATGTCTTTTGTTTGTATCACCAATACAAATGGACGATTTTTTTTAATTAGATTCTTTGGATTATAAGTTTAATAAAATTTTTAATATTTTCTACTCATTTATGGACTATTTTTCTTATTACTTCATAGTCGTCTTTATTTCATCTTTCTTTTATTTAAAGATAATATAATAGGTTTGATGCTTCTTTTGAATCTAAAAAGAAACAAAATATTTATTATTTATATAATTAAGCTTTTTGTTTTAATAAATCTTTATATCTTCCAGAATAATTTAAGATAGATTTGATGTTATTAAGATTGGTCAATATTTCAAGACAATCATCAATTGCACTTTAATAAATAGGTAAAAAATAAGAATCTTTTTTTGATCTAGGATCATAGCTACTATAGCTTGTATTGGTATAAACTTCAATATCTTATCCTTCATCTTCTAGATATATAATTTTTACAAGTAACTTATATCTTACATGTCTTTTAAAAAAACCTTCATCTAAATTTATTATTATTGTTGATTAAGTCTAAAGCCTTGCCACAATTTTTTTTTTTTTTTCAATAACACAGAAAGACTACAATTTTTAAAGCATAAGATATCTTTCTTTGATATTGATGGATTAAATTCAATATTAACATATATTAGGCCTTTAGATTATTAATAAATTCTTCCTCTTAGACATGAGAAATTATATGTTATTGGATATATTATCAAAGTTGCTAACCTTGTAGATGAATTATTCTTTCAAATCTAGGTTTTTTAAACTCACACTTAGTACAAGTCTTAATAATTTTGGCAATGTAAGTTCTTAAAATTTCATATTAGTTCCTTTCTATTATCCATTTCAAATTATATAATCTAAAAAAATAAATTGCAACTATAAGATGATACCTTCTTCTACAATATTTATTTCAAATTATTGATATCCATTCATTAATATATAGAATAATAAAGTTTGAATATTTTTTTATTAAATAATAGATATTTACTATTAAGCAAATTAAGTATTTTAAAACTATTTTTGAAATTTTTTCATTTTTTTATAATGGTTTTATAAAATAATTCAATTAAAGTTTGTTTTTGACAAATAAAATTAATATTTAATCTAATAAAAGTTTTAATTTTGGTAGACGTCATATCTCTCTGTAAATATTGAATCAAATATTCTTCCAATTTACAATTAAAGTAATAATAACCATCAAATATAAATATTAGAAGATTCAATTCAGAGTTTTGAACCACCTCCATTTTATATTCATCTTTTTTTCTTTTAATATCTAAAAGCCATGTAAAGTTGAAGTTGATTTCATCATTTGAAAAAAATATTGTCAAGGTTAAGAACCTCAAAGACTTCATTAATGGTTTCTATCATGTCCCCATCTTCCAAGCTCTAAAATATGGTATCTACTTCACTTATACAAACCACATACAACATGGTTAATATTGCATAAATTTATCATTTTAAAATAATATTTAATTTATTGGTAGTAATCTCTACTATTAAATTTTTATATTGGACATTATCAATATCTTAAATTGCAATTTAATAGGCTCTATCACTTAGTTATCCAAATAATAACTATTTTCTAATCATTTTCTATCTATTTTCTATAACGAATTTTTCTTTAGTGGTAAAAAATGGTCTTCAATTTTATTCATTTTTAATTTTATTTATTTATTTTATACGACCAATTTTTATTTAATAAAAAAATTGATTATCAATTATATCCACTTGTAATTTTTTTATCCATTTTTACTATTTATTTTTCTTTAATGATGAAAAATCGTAACCATCCATATCTATTTGTAATATTTTCCATCCATTATTTATCAAAAAAAATTCTTGATTTTGAAAAATAGTCATCACTCATATCTATTTTAAATTTTTCCTATCAATTTTTAACCACAAATTTCTTCTTGGTGGTGAAAAACGGTCACTATTTGTGAATCATTAAATTGATTTACAGGTTGTTTTAGAACAAAAGAATGAATTAAGATTGCTAAATTAAAATTATTAAATAAAATTTAGTTTAGAGGATTTTAAATGAAGAAAAATTAATATTAATAGCAAAAATTGATAATTATAGTAATCTAAAAAATATATAAGTTCTGATAACTTAAAATTAAATTCTTTCTTATAGAAGAAGGATTACATTGGTACTAATTTTTAATTCACAGATTTTATTTATTTTTATTAATTATTTTTTATCTTTTTTTTTTTATTATTGGATAGATTTAAGCTTATATTTTTAAAGAAGAATATTAACTTTTAGCATTCTTTTAACTTCGTAATATTACTAAAATTTCCAAAAATTAATAAATTTATAATTTCTTAAAGTCCATGATCTTTTAGAAAATTTAAAATTTAATTTAGTGGTAAAACTTCTGTAA